CACCTGAACAGAACACACCCCCAGCCAATCAGAACACAGCCAGCCCCCCAACCAATCAAGTCACACCCCCACTAGCAGTTAAAAGGAAGAAGCAGCTGCAAGCTCACATTACTCCGAGTAGCACAAAGCCGAAGACACAAGTCTGAAGATGACGAATGGGACTTCGTTGAAACGTCGCCAAGTTACTTCCAATTTTACATGGGAGAAAACCCAAATAACCAAAGATCCACATACAAATACCCGTGAAAACCTCAGAAAACAAATATGTGTGTGTGTGTGTGTGTGTGTGTGTGTATGTATATATGTATGTATATATGTATGTATATTTAATAAAATAACTTAATAAAACAACCCCCCACCCTGGCAACAACATACCACATGAGCCATTTAATGGGCTTCAGGCCTGCTGGCAGAACCAGGTGTTCAGTGCCTTCCGGAAGAGTGTTAGGGTGGGGGCCGTTCTAATCTCTGGGCCTGGGAATGATGTTCCAGAGAGAGGGAGCCACCACGGAAAAGGCCCTTCTTCTGGGTCCCAGCAGGTCTATCTCCTTAGGGGATGGGACTCACAACATTCCTTGCCTTTTTCCATTCTGCTTATTCTAGAGTACATGTATATTCACTATACAGACTTTTTTTGGTCTTTTTTATCAATAATTGTTAGTCTGAAATGTTTGGCAGGTGCTTGTTTCTTTGAACTCTAAAATTGTAGAGGACTTTAGATTCCTTTTTTTTGTTACTTTGTCTATTTTGTGGTTTCCCCCTCCAGCCTCTTCCCTCCAGTTCTTCCTTGGAGTTAAATGGTATTTTCTGCAGATCTCCCAATGCATAACTGTTGCTAGTTTTGTCATTGTCACACTGTTTCTAGTCAGCTCCTGCAATCTTCTTGCAGCAGCTCACTTGGTGGTCCAATGTTTCTTTGTTATAAATTTGATTTGCATGGCTGCTCATGGCCACCCATCTCACTCTGGGCAACTTACCACAGGTTAAAAAACAAACCAATAAAACCAATTAAAAAAAATATTATCAAATGAACATAATGAAAATGTTTTGATATCCTGATATGTTATTTGTAAGGTATTTATAGATTGTCTTGCAATTTTATGAGCAATAAATCAGTGAACAAGTTTATTACACCTTTTGCTCCCCTCTGTAAAATTTGCAGTTTTTGCCTGAACATTATAACTTCAGAGAAATGATTGGTTTCTTGGAAAAGGTGATATAAGCTTAATGGCTCCTTTACCTTCCCTCTAGTTTAGCACTAAAATACTTTTTCTTGAAATAAGGCCGTGTTTTCAGAATGCTGATGACCATCCATCAATGCCTTCAATCTTAAGCTTTCATGTCTTGCAGGAAACATTTAAAATCCAAACCCAACAAGCTTTTTTGGATGTTTATCTTCCTGATGGAAGGTATCTCAGGATTGATGTTCAGACATCAGATACTGCTGAAAGAGTGCTAGAGGCAAGTAATATATACACATTGATCTGGCAGCATCTCACACGAAGTGTGTCCAAGCATAATTAGCAGCCTTCCCACTTTTGAAGTATATTGTTACAGATGCCTCATAAAACAGCTAACGGGCTTACACATCACACAAAGTGAGGGTTGCTTAATTGTGGTTTATTGGTTTATAGAATAAGCCATAAATCTTAAAACCCAGCCAGGATGGTTTGCGCAGCATACTGTGGAATTTCAGTTCAGAGCTATCTGCAGGGTATGGTTTAAAAAATAATACAACAACAGATGGAGCTTCAATTGCATTGTTGTGGCCGCCATCTTGTCTTTATAGACCATGCCCTGCAGCAGGGGTGGGATTCAAAACTCCCAGCGACCGGTTCGTTGCCCAGTTGCTGGGTGGGCGTGGCCAAGGTGGGCGGAACTTCCGTGAGGGCCGTTTTTCGCTTTCCCAAGGGTCCAGAAGCTTCCCTCGGGCCTCTGGGAGGGCAAAAATGGCCTCTCCCAGGCTCTAGAGTAGAGGTGGTATTCAGCAGGTTCTGACCAGTTCTGTAGAACTGGTAGTGGAAATTTTGAGTAATTCAGAGAACCGGCAAATACCACCTCTGACTGGAGATTTTACAGTATCTTTCCCCTGCCACGCCCACCAAGCCACACCCACAGAACCGGTAGTAAAAAAATTTGAATCCCACCACTGCTCTGGAGGCCTTCTGGAAGCCAGAAACAGGCCCATTTCCAGACTTCTGGTACTTCTGGAAGGCCCATTTTTTCCCCTCCCAGAGCCTCCATGTGGATCCTGCACTTACCTGCATCAAAAATGGGCCACTCTATGAGGGGAGGGAAGGGGGGGGGGGGGGCCAGCCGGTCGGTTCAAATACCGGTTTGGCAAACCAGATGCAAATTTAACATCTGGTTCACCCAAACTGGCCCAAACCACTAGAATCCCACCCCTGCCCTACAGACATTCTTGTTACTGTACAAACCATAGTGATTGAGTGCTAAGACACAAACCAATCCAGACTGGTTTAGGAATCAACTTATTTTTCCCAGGGCAGGGTGTCTTGTGACTAGCTAAAGAGATAGGCCAGTCAACCAAGTGCTTATTTGTCATGACAATACTTAGGGTTTCACCAGAGAGAACTTGGTAAGGTTTTTTAAAAGAAAATATTTCATTTACTTAAAATATTTTATCTCACTTTTCTATCTGAAAAAGAATTGGGAGGGAAAACATGTTTTGTATTCAAATTTCCTGTAGGAGATAATTTGTGAAGACATCTACACTCAGTTAGCAGAGGGGCAGGCAAGAGTTTCTTAATAAAAGCTCACTAATTTTTTAAACAAAATAGCTATGGAACTTAAAATAGTTAATTTGATAACTTTAACTCAACAGTTTAAGGAGAAAATGCACTTTCGTTTTCCTCCAGGTGATATCATACAAAATTGAACTTTCTAGGGAGCTAATACGATACTTCGGCTTATTTCTTATTCAAGATCACAACAATGGACAAATATCTGGTAAGAAAACTTTTGTGTACCACATTTTACTTTCATGTTGCATTCCACCTGTATACAGACAGTCCTTGCTTAAGAGCTGGTCTCTTAGCAATCTTTCAAAATTACAACAGACCTACCCCCCCCCCCGCCCCAAAGATACTTACAACCCAGATTCAACTTTCCAATATGCCTCCCCCACCCCCTTGGCCATGTCATTGTATTTGAATCATTTGGTAACCAGTTTGCATTTAGGGTACTTTGCAGTATCTTGCTCTCACCGGACCACAATTTACAATTTTTTAAAGTGGCATATTTAGACTGAACTATGTAAGTACAAAGACTGAACTATGTAAGTACAAAACACGGCAAAGCATCCATTTTCCAGAGAGTGGCAAATTGATTGTGTTTAAGCCAGCTCAACCTGTAGAAAGTTCAGCTAGCATCTTTCAACCTACATATAACGCAAAAGACACCCCAGATACATTCATTTCCTCCCCACCCCACCACCCTGGCAGAACAGACAAACACAGGGGGTATGAAAAAAATTCAGGCTCCCTAATTCCAATACAACATCTATTGCTAACACTTCATGGCTATGAGGACACATCTGAAAGTAAATGGGGAAAGTCTGCTAATATCTTAAAATCTAGACAGGAGAAGTGAATAAACACAAAATAAATGAATATATGAGTAAGTGAAAACCATATTTAAATTGCTCCTTGTTTCTCCTTCCTGTGATCAGCAGAACTGCATAATTTATAAAAGTCCCAAAAGTCAACAACTTGTGGCACATACACAGAATACTTAGCATCACCAATCATGTATTTAATTAGCACTACATTTAAATATATATGTGTCTCTTTTTAATAGAATTTTTAAAAATCAATATGTCTTCTTTCCCCCATTTTTTTAACCCATCCCCCTCCAGTGTTGAAAAAACTAGCAGAATTTGAACTTCCTTATGTGAGTCTCCGGAGTGCAAAAGAATCGGCTTGTAAGATTGGGATCAGAAAATGGTGAGCAGGAAGCAGAAGTGACACGAGCAAGAAATATTTTAAAAATACCAATGTGCAAGAGGGGAAAAGTCATAATATCAATTCCATGTATGTTACAGCTTGTGGAACAGTAACCTATTTTTTTTAATTTGGCACTTTCCAACTGCATTGGAAGCAGTACATTCAGAATTCCCAAAAGTTCAGGGCGTTGTCACATCAGTCAATGTATTAGAAGTATAATTGGACAGCATGTTTGAAGTAGAAATCTAATCCAAATTGTCTGTTAGCATCTAATTTCCACCCTTTGTTTGGATTGTCCATTAAAGTCCATGGTTGGAAAATCTGATAAAGCCTTTTTCATAGAAATTAAAGGACATTTAAGGATGTGTGGCTAGTTACATTTTTTTCTCCAGCACCTAATGGGTTTTTTTCCACTAATTCTGTAAATAATTCTGTTATAAATCTGTAAATATTCTGTAAATAATTCTGTTATAATTGAATATAGAATAGATTCATCTATTGAATATACATCAGTCTGATGAATAAAAAAAAGAACAAAATAAGCTTGTTCTTCCCCTGTTTTCTTTGGGGCTTTTGGCACATACATAAAGCCAAGAATAGAAAATTATTTTAAGCAAGGTATCATATGTGTAGTATCAAGCATGATCATAATATGCAATAAAAAGTGTGAACTAGTTGCTTTATTTTTTTTTACCTACAATATTTTTGGTTACATTTCTCTTTCCATGTATGCCACTGGCTTAATGGCTTCTCTTCTCTTGTACATTTTTGGGCAGGTATATGGATCCTTCTCTAGATAAAGTGTTGATGGACTGTAGAACTTCGGTGAACTTACTTTATATGCAGGTATGCTTAAAAAGGAGTGTGTTCTTTTTAAACATTGCCAGGCAAATTTTGAGATGAAATGACCTATGATTTATTTAACTTTGTGAATTAACACAGTTTCTCAACTCTATCCTATACTAGTCTACAGAAAGTAAACATATGTACTCTAGTCTAATATTTACTTGCTTATATATTTTGTTTTGTTTTTTCAAAAAAGGTTGTACAGGAGCTAGAGATGAGTTGGGTCAAACCTACTGAGGAACAGAGGCAGAAGCTTCTAATGCTGCAAAAAGCACCAAATAAATTGAAGGTAACATGATTTTTAAATTAGGACGGTCCTTTTCAAGAATATCAGTAACATGGTTACTGTGTCTTCTGGGTCTCCAGTAGGTGTAGAACAAGCAGCGTAGAGGGACGGGCGGAGCTGAAGCTGGGGTTTTAGAGGCATGTGTCCCTTAGAGAATATGTCAGTGTAGAACACGTTCATATTTTCTCTTTTATATAATGAAATTAGCAACTGTACTGTTAAGGTTTCTAACCTTTTGTTTATAAATATTTGTAAAAGAAAAAAAACAAAAAAAACCTTAACACCCCCCCCCCCCAAAAAATATAATGGTTCGTGGAGCAAGAAAAAAAAAAAGAATATATGTTATCATGTGAAGATACCAGAGAATGGATCCTTGTTTAAAGGCCAGTCTTTTTCTTCAGTTTTATTTGAAGAATATCAACCTCCTGTCATTATGAATTTTTCAGATTTTTAAATATCAAATGTACCCATTTAGAACTGAAGCTTTGAATCACCATGTCTAAAATTCAGAAAATGCCTAACTTGACTCTGCTGGCGTGTCACCTCCAATTTCCTGAACAAAATCAAAACAATTTTCAAACGTATCCTTATCTACCCTGAATAGTGGCAGATTGTACCCCTTCCAGGCCTTGACCTCAGACCTGGGGCCACCATTGTCACTCTAAAGGCTATTTTGTGTCATTCCTCAAGGCTCATGAATCTTGCCTCAATAGCCCAGTGCTCCCCAGGATCTGCCACACGCTACTTACCTTTGGATGATGTCCTCTTTGTGTTGACAGGTCCCTGTGGGACTTGGAGCACCTGAGGCTGCTCCAGGTCACACAAAGTTCTTGAAACATCTTCCATGGCCTCCACAGCTTTTGGGACGGTCTGGAGCTGCATGAGAGCATGGTCCTCTCCTGCAACTTCCAGAGGGCCTGGAGTAAAAGCACATCCCATCCTTGTACAACTCTTTCTGCAGTTTCTGACAAAACATAGGATACTCTTTTGAGAATAGTTATCAGGTTTTGGTGAATCAGGCATGGCACCCAAAATATTGTGGCATGTCACCTTTGACATGCATATCATAAGTTCACCATCACTGGATTAAGTTGTTCTTCTCCATATCAAACTGTATGGAGAGGAATCAGCCACTGAGAATTGTTGCTATTTGCATCAAATCATCAGTGGCAGGTTTGAGCATGATGCTGATGATATTTATGGCTGTGTTTACTACATTTCTAGGTCACCTCATTCTTGATCTCCCAACTGAGATGTTCGTTCAATACAGTGAAATACTGTCATGCAACAGTAGTTAAGGGTACTCATTATAATAAACAGCCATCCGTGTTTTTGAAAGTGGATGCACAGATATTCGGTTCATAGAAGCTACTGTATGTATTTCTAGAATATTACAGATAAAACTGCCATTATATCCAAATTATTTAACTGTTCTCAGTTTAATTTTTTTTTTGCAAGATTTAGCTAAGTTAAGTGCATCTAACAAATATCACAATGAAGTTTACTAGGAAGAATGTTTCCATTTTATTTGTCAAGTTAGCTGTAACATTATCAAGCACCCTTCTCTTAGGGCAGAAAGATTTCCCCTTAATATCCCTATCCCCATATCCCGAATCCCCCCATAGTTCCAGTGAAGTTGAGTGATTCCTTCTTCTGTTATTGAAGCCCCACCAAATTCTTCCCCTCTCTTTCAGAAGTAATTAAACTGAAGACTTGTAAAAGATACTCAGCATGCAAATGCTTTTCTGTGAAGCTTCCTCAAATTGCAAATGATCTGAAAACTGAAAAGAAGGCTATTTAAGAAAACACACATGTCCTTTGGGGTTGGAATAATTAGAGTATATTTGGTATAATTGGATTCATGTTTGGAAGCCAAGTTTTGTTTTCTTCTTGCAACTGGAATTTATATATTCATGCAGGAGTCTGGGCCAGAACTGCATTTAATTATATTGAAAGGATAGCTAGACTTTCATCCGTCTTTACATCAGTGCCTTGATGTTCATAATTTATTTATAATTCATTCCCCCACTCAAATAAGCAAATGTATACACTGAAATTTATGAGCATCTCTTTCCATTTTTTTTTCCTAATCAAAAGAAAGGAGAAATTGCAACTTACAAGAAATAAATGAGAGTGCAGAATATAGAGTGTATGCAAACTATTCCTTTTTGATGTCTGTTAATTTTTATAAAATGCCTAGGCTAATAGTTAAAATTATAAATTATTATATTAAAAATGGGAATAGATTCCAATCTATTGGAAGCACTGCCTTTTGGTCATTGCTTCTGTGGCAGCACCAGCTGGATTGGTTTTGTGTGCCATTGTCATGCCCTTATTTTTGGAAGAGAGGCAAACTTATTTGTGCAGGAAGAGGTAGAGGACAACAAGGTTGCCAAAGGGAGGATGGCTCCTATGCAGAGATTGGAGTTTTCCCTTATATAGTCTTGTACCAAACTTTCTTGGGCCCAGGTGAATCCAGCCTTCTGATCAGCTTCAGTTCCCTATTTATGAATAGTGGTATTCTTCCACTATTCCGTTTCCTAGTATATACTCAAAAAAGCAAATGCTATAAAATACAGAAGAGAAGCAAACTTAGGTATTAGCTCAAGCTAAACTGGGAGTGCACTTTTGGAAGAACTGGAACATAGATATACCCAGCAAGATTATAGATTGCAAATCATATAAGAAAATAAGACTTATTTTTGTAGACTTTTATAGAATATGTGGGTGAATTTCAGACTTTTAGAACTATTCCCAATGATAACTATAGTTTACTATAAACTATAGTATATAACTGTCAAGGAGAGTCCTTAACATCTGAAGATGTAGAAAAGTAATGTCTGATGTAGGTTACCTACCCAGAGAATGAAATATATATTTGATGGGCTGCTCCTGGAATGCAGATTTTTCTCATCAATTATACATTTCCATATAACACTTGGCATTTATATTTTCATTTGTATTGAACCACTGCATTGAATCCTGTACTCTTCAGTTAGATGGCCCTTGGTCATATTGTGTGATAACAAAGGGCTTTGGAGCCATCTAGATCCTTGTGAAGTTGATTGTGTTGCACACTTTTACAGATATTATGTGTAACCTACTGCTCTCCTCTAGTTGCCGTTTCTCTTGCACAGTTTTTAGAGCTGGTTCGAGAGAGCCAGCATTATGGATATATACAACTTGTTCCTTGCTCCTGTGACTACCCTGAACTTGGTTGTACTGCTACTATTCATGTGGGAAATAATGAGATTAGCTGCTGCATAAAGTTGCCTAGCAATCAGATCAAAGAGATCAATTTCAAAATCAACAGGATAAGGTGCTGGCAAGTCACATTTCTTGTAAGTACCTTTTGTATAACTTTGTATCTGTCAAGTACTTGTTTAAGGGTTATTTTCTGAGGGGGTTGATTGTTGCTGTTGTTGTTGTTGCCCCTCCTCCAGAAGTCCTCTTATGTGCATTAATATTCCTGCTTTATATAAATAGGACTGTGAACAATAACACATAGCCCGTACATAGATTGTGTGTGTATGTATTTGCTCCATCCTGAACATCTGGTAAGAAGCTATTTGTGCAATCATTGTATGCCATCATTGATCATATATTAGGACAATCTTCACTGACCATACCTTAGGACAGGGGTGGGCAAACTACGGCCCGGGGGCCACATCCGGCCCGTTGGTCTTTTTTATCCGGCCCGCCGAAGATTGGTACAGAATTAAGGTTTGATGTGAATGATTGAATGATTGCATTCATTTGATTTTGACTTGTAATGACAGGCATTTCGACACCAGGTGGCGGCCCGTCTGTCAAATTTTAAAAGTCAATGAGGCCCCCGAGCCAAAAAGTTTGCCCACCTCTGCCTTAGGACAAATTGATATTATCCTGAAATTGCAACTCTCTGAGAGCCTGGAATTTTGGAGTTGTATTTCAAACACATTGAGACTACCAAGTTGGGAAAGACTACTAGGAAATGCCATTTATAACCCAGGCCCCCAACCTGATCCCTATGACACTAATGTAACCTTTGAACTACCTGGTGGCACTGGTGAGGCTCCCTCTGATTTTTAAAAAAATATTTATTATCCCCTCCCAAATAAATAAATGGAAAACAGGCAAATAACTATCCTCAAGAATCTTTATTTTCAAGAATGAGGACGAGCCCTGCATAAACTGCCTAGGCATTCTTGGAAATAATAGTCAGAAGGGATACAATTCAGTGCTTGCTTTGAAAACATACACAGCGGCCCTCAAAAATGAGATAAGTTGAGATACTAGAGGTTAGAGGATTTGGCGGGAAATCACTTCATCAGCTTGTTTTCAGAGGGCAGCCATTTTGTAACATGCTTTCAAAACACCAACATATCCATTGGCACCAAAATGTTTTGAATCCCTGTGGCATAGGCTGCTTGTAAAGGGAACAAAAATATACAAGCTTTTTAATAGTTATTCCTGCTTCTAGATTAGAAGAATAGGATGAAAATAGATTGAGATGTTTCTCCCAAGTGTTTTCTTCTTCTTCTGGGTAGTTATTTAGGCTATAAGCTTCAAACTATAAGCTCCAAACGTGTGTTATGATTTCTGATACTCACATGGAGTAACAGGAGCTGGTATTTCTTGAAACATATAAACATTTCAGAAGCAGACATGAAGCATCCCTGGGCTCAACTTACAATTATTTGTATAATGACTTTGATGACCCGGAGTGTGGCACAAAAATAACAAAGTCACAAAAGTAGATAAGTTCCCTTTAATACCTCCAACTTGGCCCCCAATATCTAGCTATCCTCGGCTGGAGAGCAAACTCTTCCAAAAACAGTCTACAAAGGAAAGAAATGCAGTCCAAACCCAAAGTACAGATAAATTAGAAATTAAAAAAACCAACATAAACCACACTGAAGTAATTAACATGACAGGCCAGGATAATAAATTGCAGACTTCCAAAAGATAATGAAGCACACAAAGTTGGGAGGATGCCAAAACCCAGATAAGCCTCGACAAAAATCATGCACGCTTTGCTTCCAGCAAGGTGTTGTGTGCAAACGCCCTTCTTATATCCTGTTCTCCCAGCTGCAACTAATGAAAGGGATCAGGACCCTTTTCCCTCCCGTAAGCCATGTTGCTCCCTTCTCCGTTCCTCCCTGTGTGCCCTAGGATAAAGAGGGGGTGGCCCTGGGTCTTCCTCTGAATGCCCAGTCGGACTGTGCCCTTCCCCTGTTTCTTCCACAGTCACCGGAGCCATACTCCCACTCCCTGTCAGCTGCTCAATCTCCCTCTCAGAATCAGACTCCAACAAGGGCATGGCAATTACCATTCAAAGTTACAATGGCATGGAAAAAGTGACTTACAACTAGTCACACTTACAACCATCACAGCATCCCTGTGGTCACATGATCAAGAATAGGGCACTTGGCAGCCAACATATATTTTTACAAAAATTGCAGTACCCCAAGGTCATGTGATCATTATTTGAAAACTTCCCAACCAACTTCCAACCAGCAACGTCAATGGTGAAAGCTGGATTTGCTTAATGAGTGCATAATTCACTGAACAACTGCAATAATTTATTTAACAATCATGGCAACTAAAAAATAAAAAAAATCATGGCAAAATCAGTTATGACTCACTCCATAACCATCTTGCTTAGTAATTAAATTTCAGGTCCCAATCGTGGTTGAGGACTACCTATATTCCAAAAAAGCTAGAGCAGATGTGGTAAAATCTCCAGCCCACAAACCAGGTATTCATCTGGCTCATGAATCCTTCCAGGGATTCTCTTTTCCTTCCTCAAAATCCCACCTTCAGGGCAGCGGAATATTAGTCCCTCCAGGTCTCTGCACAAGGAACTGCCTGAGGACAAACCAGAGTGATTGGCCCCTGCCTTTTTTTTGTTGCAGAAAGAAAAAGATTCCCAGGCAAACATTAACAGTCTTATCTTTTGTTGGTGGCTAGCAGAATCTTTTCATGCCTTTATCTTTACAAAGGCCTCTTGGTTAATGTGGTGATCTAATCACAGCCCAAGAAGAAGACAGCAAGCAACTCAGGAACCCATCAATTAATCATGATGTTTAACTGTTGGCTATACGTGCATGTCTACAGTATATACGGTATTTTATAAAAGGATCTGAAAAAGGACACCTGGTTTTCAAAATTTTGCAGTTTATCCTCATTCTTTAAAATGTGTACCTGATGGAGTTCTTGATAGAATCTTGTAGGTAGTATCATAAGCCTCTAGCCAGGAAGATATTTTTCTATATTTGATATTTTATTCAAACTTGGAACTGCCTGGTGATGGAAGGTAAATCTGGACTCTACAAAATAGAACCATGATCCTTCCAGTCCATTCCTTGCAAAATATCTTTGCTAAATTCAAGAAAAGGCATTTTTTTCAGGATCACAATACCTAGGTTTTAACAGTCTGCAAATACTGATTTTAGATGGTCAGGAGTTGTTTTCTTTTATTATTTATTCTCTCCATTTTCTATCTGACATCTTAACATTATATATCTCTGTTCTACACAGCCTATCCAAGCCTTGTTCTTTTTTCTTGATTTGCAGAAGTGACTTTTCCCTAGAAAAAGAAGTACACAGTCTGGATGGAAGAATTTAGGATATACTGTTGTATGGCTTTTGTTGTTCTTGATATTCTTCTCCCTTTTGACTATTCAGGGATCCGTTTTAGGCCATGGACTTGATCAATTCTTGGAACTCAGAATCGAGTACAATGAATCCGATAAGTGGAAATGGATTGTCTTCAATACAAAGCAGGTTTGTTTAGGTTCATATAAAAGATTATTATATGATAAATATCAGAGTTATTAATCTTTTGCAGCCCAGGTACACATTCCTGTTAATATTGATCCAAATAAGGATTCAGCAAATCCTCTTTCCTAATTAACTAAATATTTTACAAACAAAGACATGTTTTGCCTCTGAGTTACATCTCTTCCCCCTTTCTTTAACTGGTTACAAGAGACAGGGTTCCCTTCAGGATGAGTTTGGTAGGGTTCAGTTCATATGGTAGTTTAATACATTGGAGAAAAAAAATAACATACGATGTCACATTTAGCAACCAATCCAGAATATGTAAACATCAGCTGGGATTTTTTTAAAATAATGTTTTTGATTAATGATCATCTTTTTTCTCCAAATAATTACCTATGAATTGAAATTATCATATTACTGATGAACTGGAGGAGTAAGACATCCATTCATTGAAGAGAGAACTATGTGGAAAACAGGTGAATATGGAGTGCGTTTATTTGGGAATAAATGCTCGCCCAGTGAATTAAACAATATCATCTAAATAGGGTTTTATTTTTTTCCTCCCATGTTTAATTTCCTGGAAAATCTACTCTGATCTCTCTTCTGTGTTTTTGGATTTTGGCTTTTTTTGTGCTGTATAGATAGAAGGGAAGATTGGTTTTTACCTGTAATTGGTAACTCTTGGCTCACAAGTTAGAAAGCTGGGTTTTGCGGTTTTTTAAAATAATGTTTATCATTTGGGGAGGTGTGTTTTCAATTCACTACTATCTTCAGATATATCATAGGCTGAGACGAATATAAATTATAAAAAGGAATTCAATAAAAAAACACTTTTCATGAAAACTTAATTCCATCTTTATAGGCATTTCTTCTGAGCAGTTGCTTAAAAAAGATTATATCAGAGCAGCTGATGACAACAACCAAGAATGATCAAGAGATGGTGAGCAAAGTTGATAATCTTACTTCATTGAACATGGATGTTAAGTTGTTAGCGCTAAGTTGTAATGCAGTGTGATGACTACTGTGTGTATATCTGTGATTTTCTTGTGGCTTTCTTGCCAGAATATTCTATGTTTCTAAGAGGTAAGACTCAGTAAAAAGGGGCATCTCCAAATATGGATTTTGTTCCAAATGTGCTCTGAACTTGTGTGATGATATAGCACTGGATACTTTCAAGTGCTGAGGTGATATTTTCCTGGCTCTGCACTGATTATTTGATATCAGAACAAAACTGGCATTTTATCGGCAATGCTATGGCTTCCAGCTGGCTCTGCTCTCATTAACAGGATCCCATCACCTGTTTTCTCATTCTCCCGCCAGAATCAGGGGATTGCAAAATCATCAAGTTCCCCCTTTGTCCTCCTCTGCTTTCCTGCTTTCCATTTGAGTGCTCAGCTCTCTTTTGGTGAAACGAGGAAGTAGGGGAGAAGCAGTGGTGAGATTCAAATTGTTTTACCACTGGTTAGGTGGGCGTGGCTTGACGGGCGTGCTTTGCCTAACGCCAGCAGCTTTCCCCACACCAGCTGAGGCCTGCAGGGCCAATCAGCTGAGAGGATAAAGAAGAGAAAAGCGCAGGGCTGGGTAGGAGAGCCAATCCTGTGCTTTTCTCTTCTTTTTCTCTCAGCTGATTGTGGAAGATTTTTTCCTCCTCTCAGCTGATCTTTGGCTTTTTTTTATTACCGGTTTGGCCAAACTGGTCCGAACTGGTAGCATGCCACCACTGGGGAGAAGTAACTCAGCAGTGCACTGAATCCTGGATATGGAGCTCAGGTAGGGTGGGAGGTCAGTCAGTCTTTTTTTACAAGTGCCCTGGTTCATACGGTCCTATCAGGTGCAGCCTGCCAGTCTCTGAAAGCTCCTTTTTACAAGCGCCCTGGTTCACATTGTCCTACCAGGTGCAGTGTGCCAGTCACTGAAGGCTCCTTTCTTCAGCGTCTAGGCCTTCTGGTGTTGCACCTGACTGGTTTTCTGGCTGACATCCAAACCCTCCCCTCTCATTTGCTGATGCCTTTTCTCTCAGTCCAGCGTTGACTGGCTACAAGGAGAAAAAGGCTGCTGTGTTAGAAGGGGAAAACATGTCGAGCCCTATTAATTGCGTTTTATTAATTAATTTCACCTGGTACTGTCCGCTTCTTGGTTCTGCTCAACTCTTTTTTTAAAACATGGTCCTGATATGATTGTGAAACCTCCACCCCAACAATACCTCATGGTATAAAGAATGATGTATTGTTTGTGTAATAATTTTTTAATTCAAAGTAATTTTAGCCTTCTCTCTGACCCCTAGCCACAACCATCTTCTATGTAGTGGTAACAAAATGAAAGAAAAAACAAATGATTACACACACCTTTCTTTAATTGGTCCATGAATGCTGTTGCCATAAAGTCTTAGAGCAATGATGGTTGTTACCAGTATAGAAACAACCTTTACAGTTACTTCTTCAATCTCATTCGGTTAAAGGCAGCATATACCTCTCCGGATAATCCATGCACTATTGAACTGTTGGGGAAAAAATCCTATCATTCAGTTAGAACCAGTTTTCCTGTAATTTATTTTTATTATAACTGTTCTCTATAACAGTGCTTCTGAACTTTTTTCCTCCAGATGGCCCCTTTCCAATTCATTTCTCTCCTGCACACCTCTCCCCTTCCGGTCTCGATCCCATTATTAGTAAAAACAAAGATTAGCACTTACCCATTTGGCCTGAAAATAGAATACATGTATATTCTATTCTGTCAGTATTTGCAGTGTAATATATTTTGCTTTTCACTGGTCCCCTTGGCACAGGCCATGGTCCCAGTTACATGATTTATGTCTGTGGCCCCCTTGAAATAACCAAGGCTCCCAGGTAGCCATATGAACCCCCCCCCCAGCTAAGAACTGCTACTCTAGAGTAGTGTATCTGAACCCCAGCATCTTTAAGATGTGTGGACTTCTATTCCTAACCAGCGTCCATTCATCTTAAAGTTCCTGATACTGAAAAACAGTATTTTAGAAGGATGTAAAATTGATCTTGACCTTCTATATATCATCTTTTCAAATATCTATCATTGCTAGAGGATCAAAATGCAATGAAATGAGTAATTTAAAGTAACAAAGTTATTCTGAGTTCATCTGTTTTTGTTTTTGTTTTCTCAAAAACATTCTTAGCTCCTTCATTTATGATCAGAGACTAAAACAAAGTCCTTTGGTCATTTTCATTCCCCTGCTCAGACCTCGTTTTGATTTCTCTAAAACTGTAATAATGCGGAGAACTGGACATAATACTCAAGGTGTGGGTGCAGCCATCTTGAAAGAACTCTGCTCAAGGAAATGAACTTGACGGAACATTCTGGCTACCTGTGTTTCCTATCTGTGTAATGGTGTTTTTGTTTTCTCATTTAACCTATCAATTTAGCAGATTGAGCATCCAGAATTAGACACAGCTAAGAAAGTAAGCATCCGTCCAAGTCAGGTTTGTAAATTAAATTACATAATTTGGGTGGTATAAAAAGACTGGGTTGAGTAGGGGAGGTTTTGAGATGACAATTATGCTTGGAAGTTTGAAGCTATTAGTGAGCCTCATCATCTAGCGTTATAAATTGCATCAACTCATGGCTAATTTTGACCTTAGTTGGTTTAATAAATCATTGTTATGAGGTCATACATTATGCTACATCACAAACCAGAGTGTGTATAAACTAGCCATTGGATTTCTATCTTTTCTGATGACAATGACTTAAAGTAAATATGGATATCCCCCAGGGGTGGGATTCAAATTTCTTGACAAGCGGTTCTGTGGGCATGGCCTAATTTGTGGGTATGGCTTGGTGGTCATGTGACTGGGTGGGTATGGCTTGCCGACTGGGGGTGGCTTGGTGTTCATGTGACTGGCTAGGTGTGGCTTGTATGTAAATATTGAATTTTTAATAAAAAAAGAGAGCAACTTTTATCCAAAATCAGGCAAAGCAGATTGAGTTGCTTGCAGAATCACAGATTCACCCTCAGATCTACCTTTCTGCAATCTGCTGCCTGAGTCTGTACTGAAAAATAGAAGCTTCAGTCCTAAGGAAGGTTCAGCTCTGCTCTCAGGTCACTTCTCCCTCATCCTCCAATCCCCTGAATACCACTCCTGACTGGGCCTCAGGGAAGCCTTTTGGGTGAAGGCAAAGCAGTACAACAGTGATTTAGATTAGCTAGAAAGCAAGAAATCCGACAGGAAGGGAGGGGCCAGCCAGTGGCACGATTCTCCAAACTGCACAGAGTCATAACAACTGGTTCTGTAGAACTGGTCCGAACTGGTAGAATCCCACCCCTGATATCCCCGGTTTAGCAGTGCTTAGCCAAGCAACCTCAATATTCCTGTTGGGCAGATTATTAACCATGGGTAAATCATGGAGAAAAAGTCACAATTTCTCAATCTTGATAAGGATCGCTGGTTGAGAATAGCAAGAGAGCTCTTTCACATGGCTATTAACAGTGGTGATACAACTATCTTCCCAAGAGTCAGTGGGGTTAATGCAATAAAGAAGGAAGTACATTTTTATTTATTTTATTTATTCTATTTGTCAATCGCTTACAAGATAATAGGTATAAGTATAAACATGAGTAAGGATACAGGAAATAGGTACAAATAAATGGGGACAATATGACAGGAACGGTAGGCACAATTGTGCACGCCCCTTACAGACCTCTTAGGAATGGGATAAGGTCAACAGTGGATAGTTTGAGGTTAAGGGAGTGGGGGTTAGAGGATGTAATAACAGAGTCAGGTAGTGTATTCCAAGCATTGACCACTCTGTTGCTGAATTCGTACTTTCTGCAATCAGGTTTGGAGTGGTTTACATTACATCTGTTGTGTGCTCTTGTATTGTTGCTGTTGAAGCTGAAGTAGTCATTGACTGGTAGGACATTGTAGCAGATAATTTTCTATACTACGCTTAAGTCCAACCACAGGCAGCGTAATTCAAGGTTGTCCAAACCCAAAATTTCAAGCCTGGTGATATAGGGTATTCTGTTGCAAGCAGGAGTACTCTTCTTGTGAAATATTTCTGGATTCGCTGAATTGTATTAATGTCCAATATACAGTGCAGATTCCAGACTGAGCTCACTGTAACAGCATTGCCAAAAAGGCATTAAGAGTTGTAAATCTAATCTTACGAAGCTTCTCTGGAAATATTGAATTGCTAACTAGAGCATACAAAACTTTTGCTAGACCAATACTCGTATACAGCTCATCAGTGCTTAGGTCATTTGATATGGGTACGCCAAGGTCCTTGACAGAGTGAAGATCATCAATGAGGATATATCTGCCTAGCTTGTATTTGGTGTACTGATTTTTTTTACCAATGTGCAAGCATTTGTTGGTCGAGATTTGGAGTTGCCAAGTGTTTGACCATTCAGACACATTTAGTTGAAGTATGTATGTTTAGTGTGGGAATGGGAACATTCAAAAGTAGCCTATTGCAGATCATAATTCACCGGGCAGCCACAAAGATTCTGTGGACACCAGTGCAACCCCCAAATTTAAAATATTTGCCACACAGGATTACTGCAAATAGTCTGTGGGACTTCATTGCTAATGAAACGTAGGGGCTGAATTTATTAGGGCATTTGCTGACTCAAATCAAACTGCTTCAAATTTCTGATAGCATCACAAGTTTTTTTCCATCTACAATTCTTTCTTCTTTAGTGCCTAAATGCCAGAAGGGGATACTTGAAACACAAGAACAAATACACTTTATTGTTAGATGGATATTATTATCTTTTTAGTATAATATGATATTGTTTGCCATGCTTAAATTTACTTGCTGCAGTGATAGCCATACAGCATTTGCTGGATCAGACCCCTGAAAATTCTTTTTTTCTTTATTAGTTTAAATTTAAACTTAAGCTCAACGTGAAATTCTTTCTCTTAATCATAAATTTGGTATCACTTTTTTTTCTCCCAATACTTTTATTTTTTTGGTTAACGGATCATATTTTTTTATTCTCTACAGATATTTCATTCTGGTTTTAAGTCAAGAAAATGGCTACACAGGAGTAGATCAAATGAAGATGACTGTGTATTTGAGAAGATAAGCGAAGAAGATTTGTGAATCGACACTGATACAGAGAATATTCATTCTTGCTGGTTTTGAAATATCACTTAGCCAGGATCCTTACTGGCAAGTTGCATCATTTAGGGCCCCAGACATTACAGAGAGTCCTTGACTTACAACCACAATTAAGCCCAAAATTTATGTTGCTAAGCAAGACATTTGTTAAGTGAATTTTGCCCCATTTTATGACTTTTCCTGCCACAGTTGTTAAGTGAAATCACTGCAGTTGTTTAGTGACATGGTTGTTAAGTGAATCTGGTTTTCCCATTGACTTTGACTGTCAGAAATCCCACAAAATGTGACCCCAGGACACTGTAACTGTCATAAAAATGAGTCAGTGGACATGGGTCTGAATTTTGATCACATGACCATGGGGATGTTGCAATGGTCATAAGTGTGAAAAATGGTTAGAAGCCACTTTTTTCATTACCGTTGTCACTTTGAACTGTCACTAGATGAATTGCTGTAAGTTGACGGCTACCTGTACTACGTCAAAATGACAAGAGGACAGGTTTTATATTGTTTTAATAACAGCCAATGCAAGAGAAGATGCAACAAGCACTGGAGATCCTGCTGTAGACAATTTACTTCAGCTAGGAGATTTGTAAATAGTTTGCCCACATGTTTGTTTTTGTATTATTTAAAAAATACCTTAAACTGAGAAATAGATCAAAATAACACCTGAATTGTCAGACAAAAAGTACTTAATGTTTGGGCAACCAAATCTTCATTACTGTTCATTTGGGATACAAACCGTCCCAGATGCTTTAATCAGGTGATGAATTATGCAATGCACTGAATGATAGTAAGAATTTCCTAAGTAGAAAGTGTAGTGTCTCAAAGTCTCCCTATTTGAACTGGAACCTGCTTTATACAGGCCAAAAAGGTGTTTGTAGGGCATTTTTATAGCCCTATAATTTCATCTAGGAATTCTTCACTGAAAAAATCTACATTGCTTGATTACTCTTCCCCCTTTTCCTTCTTTGTACTGATAAGTGAAATAAACTAACGCTTGGACTATTGGAATTATTCCAATGCATTAAAATCTGGTCAAATGTAGTATTTTTGTGAAGAGTTTTAAAATAATAATGTAATATGGGAGGTACGTGTGATAAATATTCTGAAAATGTAAAATACCGGTTGCATTTTTTAAAAGAAGCACATTTCTAACAGACAGAATGCCTTCAAAATGGTCCAGAAATCACAATGTGTCTCAAGAAAATCTATTGTGTTGTCTTCCAGTGTGGAAAACCTTAGAACAGCAGTCCTCAACCTTTCTGGCTTGGCAGTCAGGAGGGGAAGAGGGGATGTTCTGTGTGAATGACAGGCGCACGTGTCATTGCACACAACTTCATTTGCACAAGCAATGGGCGCGCGTACCTGCCGCTTACACAAATGGAGTTTCATGCACAAGTGTGCACGCCCAGTACTCACACTAATGGAGCTACGTGTACATGTTCACTCACCACTTTCACAACCTGGTTCTGAACGGGCCACAGCCTAATAGTAGGCCACAGTCTGGGGATTGGGGACACACCCACCTGGATAGAAGGTGCATGAAAGATACATGAAATACTTCCAACAGCATATATGGGCTATAATAGTTGTTTGCAGAACATGGATTGCAATCATTCAACTAAAGGGTTCTACAGGGCATGGAGCAACTGACGAAGCAGGTGCTGCAATACAACCCGCTCTCACTCACTCTCTCACAGTCACCCAAACCCCACCATGCTTGCGCCATGCCTTCCCTGCCACTTGTGCACCTCCTCGTTCCCTTTCCCATCTGATACAGCCATTTATTGCCTGCAGCCTGCTTTGGTTGTTGGAAATTGGCACTTCATGACTCGTGATCCCTGTTTAATGAGAGCAATGGGACTGCAGATATTGCGGTCACTAAACAATGCGGTCATGTGCTGTTGCATTTTGCAACTGCATAGCTTAGTGACAGAAACTCCAGTTCCAGTTGTCGTCCAAAATGAAATAGTTTCTAAATGGAATACTTAAGAAATACTTTTTCCTGAGTCGCTTACCTGCATCTCCTGTATAGAGTTACCAGATAACACACAAAGGAGGATACAGACAATGGGAAAGGAGGATAAACAGAAAGAAAAGGATACACTTCGCATTCACAACAAAAAATACAGCAAAAACACTGCCAAAAATGTACTTTTTCAAGGAGCAACTGG